AAAGTATGCGAATGGGGATATAAAGCACATAGTAGGGGCGGCATATGAAGCAGCCCAGTCATTAAGGGACTCGAGAGTTCCTCTCATTGCTATTAACTAAAGTGAATGGGGAACACAGAAGAAGACAATTGAGTATAGTGGTAAGAGTGTGTACAGAATATATATATATATATATATGGGTGGAGTATCAACTCTCTGGCCAATCTTATTCATTAATTGTTTGTTTAAAGAATTTTTTAGGGGTGTAGGAAATATATAATAGATGTCCCACTGTCTTTTATGGGGTGAAATTTTTATGGTTGTGGATCACTCTCCTATTAACAATGGCCATTGATAAGAATTATTTAAAGTGCTATGTATTTGTTTTAAAATTCCTAGCATTCCCTGGAGGAAGGATGCATTGATAATCGCCCACTGTCCACATTTCCGAATTCTTCAATGTTCTAACGATAAACATTATAACGATGTCGAGAAGAGTTAATAACAATAATCTCCTTTAGGTATAGTTGAATAGCATAAATCCCCTTGTGGTTATAAAAATAAACGGTAGAATGGTAATTCGGTAAATATATATTAATCCATTCAGTTATAAAATCAAACAGTTAACTAATGACTTACTAACGATAGGAGTACGGACGAGTGGTTTCGGATACTCTGTATTTTTTGAAGCAATCGGAATTGGTCAATTCTTAAGATTAGGAAAGGGAACTGGAACATGAAACATAGGTTTTGATTCTCGATACCGGATTAATTGCAATTACTCCCTTATTTTAAAAAAATAACAAAGGAACCCTCAAGGGTTTACAAAAATTACAACTCAGTCTCGATTCCTACCCGAGTGCTTGGACCTTAGTTTCGGTTCTGATTCTGACACTACAAGAACTAGAATCGGACTTTGGAATTCCAAGTTCCAATTTTCTAGAACTAAAACTGGATCTTACTTGAGGCAGTTTTGGTTCTATCCTTTACCCATGCTCACCTAAAGGTAAAGGTAAAGGTGGGCCGTGCCATGCCTAAAAATTCAAGGCCCATCGTGTCGTGGGCCATGCCATGCCAAGGCCCGCACAGTTTTGTGCCCTGTCGTGTCGTGCAGACCCACAAATTTGAAGGCCCACGGCACGACCCATTATATATCGTGTCATGTCTTGGGCCATGCCATGGGCCAGCCCACGTGCTTTGTGAAAATATTTCATTTTAATTTTAATAAATTATGGTAATTTTGATTTATTATTAATAATTATTATAAAAATATTTTATATGTTATATTTAGTGACATTTTGTATTTATATTAATTAAAAATATATAATCACTTGATGGCAGGTTTGCTAATAAACCTGAAGAGGTTAGCAACCTTTTTCAATTATTATTTCCTTCGTCAATGCCTGAGAGAATAGAGGACTGTATCCGTGTGATAAAGCCTGTTATAACTCCTGAAATGAATAGTGATTTGGTTAAGCAAATTTCTAATGAAGAAGTAGAAAAAACTGTTTTCAATATGAATGGTTTAGGATCTCCAGGACCTGATGGATTTCCTGCCATCCTCTATTAGAAACATTGGATGATCATTGGACCTAGCGCGTGTGCTGCTGTGAGAGATGCCTTCTGTTCTGGGAGCTGGCCTTAGGACTTTAATGCTACTCTTATTGCATTAATTCCCAAGGTTAAAACTCCTTCTAAAGTGTTAGAGTTCAGGCCAATATCTTTATGCAACGTTCTTTATAAAATTTTGGCCAAGGTCCTTGCTAATAGACTGCAAAAAATCCTACCACAGATTATATCTCCATCACAAAGTGCTTTCATACCAGATCGGTTGATTACTGATAATGCTATAGTGGCATTTGAAGTCATGCATACTATGAATACCAGTCTAAAAGGAAGGAGGATGGTATATTGCGCTTAAGCTTTATATGAGCAAGGCTTATGACAGGCTTGAATGTCTTTCTGCAGGCAGTCATCTTAAGATGGGTTTTAACCCAACCTGGATCAAAGTCATCATGAACTGCCTCTCTCAGTTACTTACTCGGTTCTCATCAATGATTCCTCAAAAACCATTCAAACCTTCTCATGGGATTAGACAAGTGACCCTTTGTCACCTTATCTATTCATTATTGGAGCTGAAGCTCTTAGTAGGCTCATTCAAGATGCTGAAGACAGAGGAGTTATCAAAGGGCTTCCAATGGGGTGTTCTAAAATGATTAGACACCTCTTTATGCTGATGACTGTCTTCTCTTCTGTAAGGCTAATCTTATGAGTGGAATATGTTTTTTAAGCTACTAGACACCTATGAAAAGAGTTCCGGGCAACCTTAATAAGGAAAAACTTCTATATTTTTCAGCAAAAATACTAGAGGAGATGTCAAGCAGCAAATTATCCAAGTGGCTGGGGTAAAATCCTCTCATCCTTATGAGAGATACCTTGGACTTCTAACGTTATTGGGAGAGATAGAACAAGAGGTTTTAAGCCATCCTGGACCGAGTACGAGACAAAATCAGTAATTGGAAGATGAAGTATCTATCACAAGCTGGGAAAGAAACTCTACTTAAGGCTGTTATTCAAGCCTTTCCAACATATAGCATGGGTGTTTTTAAAATCCCAAAAACCACTTTACAAGAGCTGAATAGATTGACTAAAAATTACTGGTGGGGCCAAAAGAATGACGAAAGTAGGATTCACTGGTGTTCATGGGATAAATGAAGCTGTCCAAGACCAATGGTGGCTTAGGCTTCAGAGTTTGAACTCTTTAACTTGGCTATGCTTGCCAAGCAGGGTTGGAGACTTCTTCATTATCCTAATCATTTGCTGCGAGAGTTTTATCTGCTAAATACTATCTTGAAGGTTATTTCTTAGAAGCTAAAGTTAAAAGAACATCATCCTTTTTTGGAGAAGTGTAATGGCAGCAAGGCCATTTTGGAATCTGGTTTAATGTGGCGCATTGTGTGTCCCAGGCCCGGTTTGGCAAGATAAATGGCTTCCTTCTCCATCTTCATTTGAGATTCAAAGTCATGCCTTGGTATGGACCCGGGGCTAAGGTGGCTACTCTCATAGATCCCCAATCAAAATCCTGGAAATTGGATCTACTCAAAGACTTGTTCTCATAATCAGAAGTTAACCCCATTTGTCAAATTCCCATCAGTGTCTTCAATAGACCATATAAACTTGTTTGGAATGCTCTCAAAATGGTCTATCTCGGTAAGGAGTGCATTCACCTGCAAGTGGAGTCTCAACTCTCACCCGAGGCCAATCCTCTTCTGCAGCCATGAGAATAAAAAGTGGAAGAAGTTTGAAGCTTCCCATCACTAATGCAGAAAAGCTATTTTGTGGAAAGCTTGCCAAGACATTCTACCTACCAAGTGTAACCTTGTCAAGAAAAGGTGATTGAGGATCCTTTTTGCCCCTTCTGTTGCTCAGAGAAGAAGATGTCTTGCATGCTTTATGGGGCTGCGCTGCTGCCAAGGATTTGGTCAAGTTGTTCTCGAACCTTCCAAAGATGAATGACAATTTCATCGACTTCAGAGAGCTAGTTATGTTTTTTCTATCCGAATTAGAGGAAAAGCATTTAGTTGAATTTAGTGGTGGTCCAAAAATCTGGCAAAGAAGGAATGAGCTTACTTTCAAACAACATCTCTCTACTCCATCCCAGATCATTCACCATGCAACTCAAGAACTGGACATTTAAACTCCTTGCACCATCGAGGACCTCTCCTAATGCTCATCCTCAGATTCCTGATCCCAGCTCACCAAGATGGCAGCCACCACCTGAAGGTATTACAAGATAAACTAGGATGCAGTGTGAGAAAAGAAGACTACACAATTGGTGTTGGAATTGCATTCGGGACTGGCAAGGCAGATTTATGGCAACTTGAGAATGAAGAAACCCATGTTCTCGATGCATACTTGACTGAGTCTTTCCAGCTGTTCAAGAGTCATTCTCACAGCAGATATTGGTATTACCAATTATCCTGGAAGGGACGCACTTCAAGTAGTCAATGACTCCTTAGGATGAAGAGAATGGGGTCAAGCTGGTCTAATCTCTATTGATACTAAAGCGGTTTTTAGGAATTTTCAAACTTTTTGGTTCATCATGTTAATAGAGCATCCAATGTGATTGCTCATACTCTAGCTAAAGATGCTCTAACCATAGTGATGTTATTGGTAGAGCTTGAGATGTTCCAAATTGTATTGGATCCTTAGTCGTCCTATTGAATGAATATTAAGCTCATTTGATTTCAAAAAAAAAAAAAAAAAAAAAAAAATTATATATATATTAATAACCCTATGAAATATAATAAATAACGAGACTTGATATTAATTGAATTTCAATACATTTATTACTTAAGTTATAATTATAAATTACAAATACAAAATTAGAAATTATGATTAAATTAATAACATCTTCATTTTCATTAATTTCTAAATTCTTAAAATCTTCAAATATTTTTTATTTTTTGTGTGCCATGTCGTGCTGGCCCACAAGCTTTCTTAAAGCCCACAGCATGGCCCGCATATTTTCATGCCATGCCGTGCCGTACTTTTTTCCGTGTCGTGTTTTTTTTCGTGCCGGGTCGTGCCATGGGCCGACACGGCCTACCATCGGTTCTATGCTCACCCATAGATAGGAGGATTCAGATTGTTGTTATTTCTAAAATTTCAGATGGTTTTTGTTATTTGATTAAACTTAGGGGTGACATTAAACTTAGGAGTGAGCACGAGTAGCAGGTAGAACTGAAATCGACCTTCATAAGGTGGGTTCCGATTCCAATTTTTTGAGCCGACATATTGAGTGTGTCACGTGGAGACAAGTATAAATTAAATAGAATCACAATTATTAAGGTATCGAGAATATTGATGAGTTGCAAACTTATGATGGACAAATGCGACCAATAAAGTGGTGCTTCAGTTGGGGAGAATTCTAGTTTCAAATATCTTTGAGATGCATTTTATTACAATACATCCATTATTGAGCTTGAGCTTGATAACCTGAACTACAACGCTTCAGCAGGCCTCTAGTCCATTTTGTGAATTCCGCTTCACATGCGCAATATGTAAATCCTTTGTGTGTACATGTATAATTGATACAACGAAAGACTTGAAAAGGAATTAATAATCATAAGAGTAGAGCATTAATCTGGTTGGAGACGAAAGTTTTGGTATAAATCGGATAATGTAATCAAGTTTCTATTTCAATATACCCCTGAATCTGATCGGCGTTAATGGGTCAAAGCCATATTCTATACCATCCAGTAGCTCAACAATTTATTATAGCCCATTTCATAAGAGATGTCAAGCTGGAATTGCGTAATTTACATAGCAAGGTTACACTCACATCCGCCAATTGAGAGGCTAATTTTCCAACATCGAGGCCCACATTTCAGGTGAAGTTTTAAATTAACTATCATCAACCGAGCCCAAGTCGGCTGCCTCGGCTACATTTGGGGTGAATGGCTAGCAGGCCAGGTAAAAGGACATAAAAAAATATGTAATTAACAGTCTCAAATATAAAAAAAAAGGAAGCGCCGAACCCCCCGGCAGGTCAGGTTGGATAGACAACCTGCATTACTTCTGAACGATACAAATTAACATTAGTAACCTTGCATGTCAAGCTCATAAAGGCAGCAAAAACCCAGAATACAGTGAGGAACAACATACCTTCAATCTCATCCCTCTAGGAAGATAGACATACAATTCAGATAGCAAATTAGGAGTACAACTGCAAGTCCATCCTAGTATCCGCAAGCCACAGCCGCCACCTATGGGGCTTTCAAGTGCAAAGAATAATATAAACATCATCCTTCCAAAATCAAAATGATCTTGACTTTCCTTTAAAGCCGGGAATTCTCAATCAGCACGATATATTAATGCCATGTACAACAGCAAGTAACTCTTAGAAATTAGAATTCTATCATTCTGGACTTTGACAGACACGAGCATGAATTCCTTGAATTATCTCAACCTGTAGCAGACTAGCATATTCAAGCAAGATAGCTAGAAGGCTGCAAAAAGCATATGAGGTCAAAGCTAAAAAAGAAATGTTGGTAGATTGACAGATTGTCTAGTCCATCGCTTTTCGAACAAAGAATTAATATTATTGAAACAAAGTATAACTAGTATAACTAAATAAACTTCTCTCTTTTCTCTCTTACCCCCGAAAAAACACAAAAATTAGGAACCAACATTGACATATTATAAAGTTTTAACTACTTCAAAGGGTTAAATGATCTAACAAGCCGAATGCAATATATACATAACTACTCCCTAACACCTAAATGTTTTGACAGCAAAAGCACAAAATGGGTTCTCATCTAGACCATATGAAACGAGGGCATATGATGCCATATTTAAGGCATGAATTCATCAATTTTGCTTGCTCAATGGACAGAATGAACTATTTTTATCAAATTATGAAAATATATAACAAAAAAAAGTATTATTTATGGGATGCAGAATTATATTATCCACCTGCACTAAACATATTCTTGGCCTCAACAAATTGACTAGCTAATCTACATTCGCGCTGGAATCAATATACATGTAACCTTCAATCTATAAAACACACCATCAACTGGAATGTTGCCTTCAAATATAGGTGAACCTTTAAGCCTGCAAAGAATCAGTTTTTGCTTTGTTAGAAGAACCCCAAGCAGTATGGAAACAACAAAAAATACTAAGCCCATAGCCTTCTCTCACAACTAAATTAAAAAAAAAAAAAAAAAAACAAACAAACACCACAAAATTCTTCTAATCACATGAAAGCCCACAGATTTTAGATTCTAAAATATCAAAATCTAGTTTCATCATTTAAAACACATAACCCATGAACAACATACCCCAAGTAATTTATCTACAATTGATCAAACAGGAAAGGGAAAGGATTGATGCCAATCTTCAAACTGGCCTATCTTTTCCCTAAAATGTTCTTGATCAACCAAATGCTCCTCCATAGTGCCATTGATGACTTCAATAATCTTTAAATATACTTCTTTCTTCTCTAGAAAGGTGGTCATTATCTTGGGCAATGACACAAGCCTCGTCAGGAGCTTTATCTTTAGGGAATATTTGTACATGACAACATGAACCTATCCATGTTTCTAGTACTTTGTTATGGAAGACCACTCCATACACCCAGTGTTTGTTACCATGGCATACTTAACAAGAAGCTCACATAGTTTCAACATAACTTATTAGAGCGAAGAAAAAACCCAAGGTAGAATGAGTTCACTCAAACCTCCAGATTATGCATTTCTTTCATACCAAATACACCAAAATGACAACCAAATAATAAGAGGATCATGAAAATTAATAAAAAAAAATGTATAGACCATCTAAAACTCATTTAAGTAATATACACAAGCGACAAAAAGATGAGAGGGCATGATGACAATGAAAACTACCTGAAAATTTCATCACAACAAGCTTGCACTTAAGAGTCCAACTGGCCTTTCTCTTCCAAATGTTTCATCATCAAAATCTTCATTTGTTGAATTTTCTTGACATAGCAACTTGTTCTCTTGCACGGGATTTAAGTCAAGAGCCTCCCAATCCATTGGATGACTGTGGTGTGCGTTACCCTGCTCAGACCCATGATTATTATCAACATTATCCTCTGCATTTGGTCTGCCATCACCACTCTCTGGTATCTTATCATAATCAATAGATGGTGGCTCAACATTGAGATCGGAGCCCAACTCATATCCAGCCTGATCACCAGTCCCATGAAAAGCCACAGTTACTGCTGCTTGTTCAGATTGCTCAGTAGGATCTTTTTTCTGCCTCTTCCATTTCTTTGTAGATGAAGTTCCGTCATCCTCAAAATCTTCTTCTTCTCTATCTCTATGTAAATAAACCCACAATTTCCGCTCAGAATCAAATTGCACACAAGGATCACGTTCGTAATGCAAACGGTCCAATGCTCCACTAACAATTTGGTTAACTTGTGCATCAGACACATCTTCAACAATGTATTGAGAATCTCTGATTAAAGTACAAACATCTGCCCTTGTGCCAATACTACTAGGCAGTCTGGCAGCTGCATCTCTCACAAGACAGAGAATTGTAACATGAGGTGGTCGATCACGTTTCAACATAAAATGGTCTCGGGCTTTTGAAGTTGGCTTACCACCACACCTTCTCAAAGGAGCAACAATAGATTTTTTGCCATCAGCAGCTGTATAAGAGAAAGCCCTATCAGGAATGGAATATCTAAGGACTTCCTCCCGACGAAAATAAGCTCTCACTTCCTCAGTACTTGGGCTAATAGTGTTAAGGCTCTTTTGAGCTCTTAGGTCTCTGAACCGATCTTTCTCATCCTGGTTGAACTGCATCAACGACGCAGGAGGAGCAGGAAGACTTCCTATCTGCTGAAGGGTTTCCTGACCACTTTTCAGCCAATTTGCAAATGAATCGACCAACTTGACAAGCATCTTGTGAGGAAGTCCCCAAGCTTCAGGTGAAGTCACCTCCTCAATTGTCTCATGATCAGTTGAGATATGAGACACTGGGCCAACCCAGGACCAACTTTTCGTAGATTTTTCATAGGTCACAAGCATCTTCCAACCTTTTGCCCCCAGAGGTGCTGTTTTCGATGAAAATATCTTGAGAACTCCTCTGACCAAATCCTGAAGTGGCTCTTGTGTCTCAAGAATACAAGGATCTCCAGGGTTTGATCTCACACGGTTAACAATCTCCTGAATGGTAAGAGAAAGCACCTTCCCTTGCCCAGACTGGTCTGAGTTACTGACATCGGCATTCTCGTTAGAAACAACACCATTAACTTCACCTTCATGCTTTTCATTCTGCTCCTCTCTAGGTTTGCCAACTTCTAATGAATCTTCTGTAAGTGGAGTAACCATTGCCATGCGAACTGCTGAAAGAAGATGTATAATGGAGAATGAGAAGCCAGTATGAACTGTAGGTGTTATCAAAGTAAAAGGCTTTTTTTGTGGTTTAGTTTCCTGCTCAACATCTGCTGCTCCTGCTTCTGTAACAGGTGGCTCAGAAGTTTCCAAATCTGTAGTAACAGCATCAGCCTCCAGTTTCCTTTTTCCCTTCTTCTTCAAGAAAACGGAATCATCAATTTGCTGCTGATCTCTTCCATCCACATCCATCACATCCCCTTTCGCTTTTCTCTTCTTCATCACCAAGTTGCATTCTACTAATGAAGCCTCAGATTTTTCCCTACCTTTCTTCCTCACTCTGCCCTGTTTAACACCGTTAACCAATAATCGTGTTGCAAGTGAATCATCATCCTCATCAACAATAAATTCATGGGCAAGTTCTGCTTTCTGCTTTCTCTCAGAAGGAAAGGCCTTCAGTGAGGACAGGTGCATCCTTTCTCCATGTTCCCCCCGTAATTGGCCATTCTTGCCAAATTTGTAGATAGGTTTCCTATCGTCATCATCTTTAAATTTGCCCAATCCTGACAGAGAGCTATCTTCCAAAACCCTGGCAGTAGAATTATGGAAGGGACTGTTATCACGCCTCTTACCCTTCTGTTTTGTTTTCAAAGAGTAGTTCTCTGTTCCTGGTATTCGTGCATGCTCACTAAAGCCACCCATCATCTTGGAGGATTTTGTGATTCCATCAAGTGCCCGTGTATTCTCTAGTTTATCTTTCTTTATAAATTTGGACTTCTTAGCATCCAGACCAGGTTTCAGTGAAGAAAATCGAGAACCTTCAGCAACAGCACTGGGGTAGGCTAACTTGCTCCTCATTAAAGGATTGCTGTCATCATCATCATCATCAAATTGTTCAGATGACTCTGATTCTGTTTCTTCATTTTTTACATGCTTTCTGTTACCTCTCAATGCTGCCATATCTAGCCCTCCATTCTGCACAAAATTCCCTCTTATCTTCTCCTGTGAAGGCTTCACTCTGAACTCAGAATGTAAGAATCTATCACTCATCTGTGGTGAGGAAGCTTTATATGATCTAAAATTGATATCAGGAGACTCTTTCCCCGTCTTCCATTTTTTGCTTCTACCATGCCGATCATCAGATTTAAAAGGCAAATCATTGGAAAATGCCTCTCCTTGAGTTCTGTTATACCATGGTTCTGCACGATCCAATATTTCAGCTCGACTTCCTTTCAGTGGTAGCTGTGGTCGGTGTTTCAGAGACTTCATATAGTCTCCAACTGTTTGCTGAGAATTTTCAGGATACTTAGCCTTCTTGGAAAACTCATAAGATGTTCTCATGGTAAAAGGCTTTGATGTATACACTTTTGCCTCTGACAACTGACTTACATTCTTGTTTTTACCATAGGCCTGTAAATCGTGCTTCGATGACATAGACAAACCCATGAAACCATCACTGCCTGATTCTTCACCTCTCAAAAAGTCAGGCTTCTTTCCCATTTTCCAAGCACCAGATTTTTCCATCATGCTACCCCGTGTAGCATTTCGATCTCTTTGACTACCCATTCCAAACAATGGATCTTCAACATCATCATCATCGTCAACACTGAACTGATCCCTTCTCCATAAAGAAACCCCTGACTCATACCCTGCTCCTTTACTCAGTCGAGGAGGAGCTACTCCTGAACCATATGGCCCAGAATTCATATCCACAAAGCGGCCCCCAGAATGCAATTTGGACCCAGCCATCTTCAAAGTACCTTTTGAATTCTGCTTCCCATATTTTACCGGTTCCATACTCATCGGCTGTCCTTGGGGAAAATCCAAAGTTGAACCCACCGCATATGGAGAATGATGCCGCATTTTCTGAACAGCTTTCCTATCCTTAAGCTTTTTGCTCCAGAACCCATCCCCTGATTCCTCTTGTCCTGATGAATCACTCTCCAAATCCTCCATCTTCTCATACATCAAGCTCTTTTGACTCTTCATAATATTCAAAACCCTAAGCTTCTCCTCAATACTATACCCCCTACAATTACTCCACGCATCCCTCATCTGACAAAGATTGCTAACCATAGTATTCTGATGCTTCCTCAAATGATGATAATGTTGCCGCTTCTGAAAGAAATTCAATCCCTCCCGATAAAGCGCCACTCTTGGCTCACACAAGCCCCCTTTCAACATATCAAACAGCTTCTTAATGGGACTCCCAAAGTGGAAATTCTCAGCCTCAAAAAGCGCCTTCAACGTCCTCATAAAAGTATCTTGATCCATATCAGGTAAATACTTGGCTAACCCAAACTTCTCCTCATCAGTTAACAATTCATTCCACACATCAACAGACAATATATCTTCTAAACCGGAAAGATCATACAATTCAAAAGGAACAGTACAAGTTAAGTTCCCAATTTGGCAGAACTCCGCCCCAGTTTCACCTAATTCAAGCAAGTCAAAGTCATCCGAACCAGCACCTGAATCAGCATCATCATATTCATCATCATCAGATGATTCATCAACGGCTGAGCTTCGTCTTTGAAGCTCATCCTCATCACTTGACATAGTCCCCCTACTATCCGGGGAAAACTCCGAATCAAAACGCGAAACCTTGAAATTATTCTTCTCTATCGCCATTAATCACAAATCCTAACTCAAAACTCCTTTAAATCACCAAATTTCAAAATTTTCACGGTAACTGAGTAAAACACAAAAAACAAAAACAAAACAAAAAATCTCAAAATTTCGAAATTGACAAAGCGAAAAAGAATAGCAGATTGAAAGCAAACAACAATTTCAGATATTGCCCAAAAAGTACCTCATTCGCGAGATATTGAGATTGAATTAGGAATTGAAGAGTTGAACACGAAATTCGAAACGTCATCTACGGTACAAGAAGTGGCGGATATTTTCGGAGACAGGTGTCATCATGATTTTGGATATATTTGTCAATGAGAGAAACCCTAAGAAAGAGGCGGTTTAATAATATAAGGAGATAGCGAGAAGAAAGAGTGAGAGGTGATGATGTTGTTGATGATGATGATGAAGAAGACGATGGTGACGTGGAGAGGTGTGGGCCGTCTGATTATGAGAGAAGGGGATCGTGGTAAAAAGACCGAAAAGGGCTCAGCGAGAAGGCGTGAGTGCAGAGGTAGAGAAAGAGAGTGGAAAAGAAGGGTTTGGTGTTTGAGAAAGAAGGTGAGTGACTCAGTGAGTTAGTCACCGAGTTTGGGAAGTGACCGTTGTTGAGTCAATCTTGTCTGGGTTTTGTGATTTAGAAAGTTTCCGGCCGTTGGATCTGAACCCTCTTTACACCGATTGGGCTCTTTCAGACTACGAATGAGGCTTACGACGTCGTTTCATATGTGAAGGGAAAGGGATGACTAAGTTATAACATTAACATAACATCCTCTGTTAGTTTGTCCAAACATTTTGAAAATTGGTTTTTGTTAGTTATAAAGTTCTATTTGTAAAATACATAGAATAAGATCAGATTTAATATTCATTAATATATAATAATCAAATATAAAATTAAATAAAAGTTCGTTAATTAATATAAGATTGACGTGATGGTTATATTCATCAAAGTCACTTCAAATTTAATTGATTTCTGCTTTCTCTCAGAAGGAAAGGCCTTCAGTGAGGACAGGTGCATCCTTTCTCCATGTTCCCCCCGTAATTGCCATTCTTGCCAAATTGAGATAGGTTTCCTATCGTCATCATCTTTAAATTTGCCCAATCCTGACAGAGAGCTATCTTCCAAAACCCTGGCAGTAGAATTATGGAAGGGACTGTTACCACCTCTTACCCTTCTGTTTGTTTTCAAAGAGTATTGTCTCTGTTCCTGGTATTCGTGCATGCTCACTAAAGCCACCCATCATCTTGGAGGATTTTGTGATTCCATCAAGTGCCCGTGTATTCTCTAGTTTATCTTTCTTTATAAATTTGGACTTCTTAGCATCCAACAGCTCAGCAGTGAAGAAAATCGAGACCTTCACAACAGCACTGGGGTAGGCTAACTTGCTCCTCATAAAGGATTGCTGTCATCATCATCATCATCAAATTGTTCAGATGACTCTGATTCTGTTTCTCATTTTTTACACTCTTTCTGTTACCTCTCAATGCTGCCATATCTAGCCCTCCATTCTGTACAAAATTCCCTCTTATCTTCTCCTGTGACGGCTTCACTCTGAACTCAGAATGTAAGAATCTATCACTCATCTGTGGTGAGGAGCTTTATATGATCTAAATTGATATCAGGAACTTTTTCCCAGCAACACATAACCCATGAACAACATACCCCAAGTAATTTATCTACAATTGATCAAGCAGGAAAGGGAAAGGATTGATGCCAATCTTCAAACTGGGCTATCTTTTCCCTAAAATGTTCTTGATCAACCAAATGCTCCTCCATAGTGCCATTGATGACTTCAATAATCTTTAAATATACTTCCTTCTTCTCTAGAAAGGTGGTCATTATCTTGGGCAATGACACAAGCCTCGTCAGGAGCTTTATCTTTAGGGAATATTTGTACATGACAACATGAACCTATCCATGTTTCTAGTACTTTGTTATGGAAGACCACTCCATACACCCAGTGTTTGTTACCATGGCATACTTAACAAGAAGCTCACATAGTTTCAACATAACTTATTAGAGCGAAGAAAAAACCCAAGGTAGAATGAGTTCACTCAAACCTCCAGATTATGCATTTCTTTCATACCAAATACACCAAAATGACAACCAAATAATAAGAGGATCATGAAAATTAATAAAAAAAAATGTATAGACCATCTAAAACTCATTTAAGTAATATACACAAGCGACAAAAAGATGAGAGGGCATGATGACAATGAAAACTACCTGAAAATTTCATCACAACAAGCTTGCACTTAAGAGTCCAACTGGCCTTTCTCTTCCAAATGTTTCATCATCAAAATCTTCATTTGTTGAATTTTCTTGACATAGCAACTTGTTCTCTTGCACGGGATTTAAGTCAAGAGCCTCCCAATCCATTGGATGACTGTGGTGTGCGTTACCCTGCTCAGACCCATGATTATTATCAACATTATCCTCTGCATTTGGTCTGCCATCACCACTCTCTGGTATCTTATCATAATCAATAGATGGTGGCTCAACATTGAGATCGGAGCCCAACTCATATCCAGCCTGATCACCAGTCCCATGAAAAGCCACAGTTACTGCTGCTTGTTCAGATTGCTCAGTAGGATCTTTTTTCTGCCTCTTCCATTTCTTTGTAGATGAAGTTCCGTCATCCTCAAAATCTTCTTCTTCTCTATCTCTATGTAAATAAACCCACAATTTCCGCTCAGAATCAAATTGCACACAAGGATCACGTTCGTAATGCAAACGGTCCAATGCTCCACTAACAATTTGGTTAACTTGTGCATCAGACACATCTTCAACAATGTATTGAGAATCTCTGATTAAAGTACAAACATCTGCCCTTGTGCCAATACTACTAGGCAGTCTGGCAGCTGCATCTCTCACAAGACAGAGAATTGTAACATGAGGTGGTCGATCACGTTTCAACATAAAATGGTCTCGGGCTTTTGAAGTTGGCTTACCACCACACCTTCTCAAAGGAGCAACAATAGATTTTTTGCCATCAGCAGCTGTATAAGAGAAAGCCCTATCAGGAATGGAATATCTAAGGACTTCCTCCCGACGAAAATAAGCTCTCACTTCCTCAGTACTTGGGCTAATAGTGTTAAGGCTCTTTTGAGCTCTTAGGTCTCTGAACCGATCTTTCTCATCCTGGTTGAACTGCATCAACGACGCAGGAGGAGCAGGAAGACTTCCTATCTGCTGAAGGGTTTCCTGACCACTTTTCAGCCAATTTGCAAATGAATCGACCAACTTGACAAGCATCTTGTGAGGAAGTCCCCAAGCTTCAGGTGAAGTCACCTCCTCAATTGTCTCATGATCAGTTGAGATATGAGACACTGGGCCAACCCAGGACCAACTTTTCGTAGATTTTTCATAGGTCACAAGCATCTTCCAACCTTTTGCCCCCAGAGGTGCTGTTTTCGATGAAAATATCTTGAGAACTCCTCTGACCAAATCCTGAAGTGGCTCTTGTGTCTCAAGAATACAAGGATCTCCAGGGTTTGATCTCACACGGTTAACAATCTCCTGAATGGTAAGAGAAAGCACCTTCCCTTGCCCAGACTGGTCTGAGTTACTGACATCGGCATTCTCGTTAGAAACAACACCATTAACTTCACCTTCATGCTTTTCATTCTGCTCCTCTCTAGGTTTGCCAACTTCTAATGAATCTTCTGTAAGTGGAGTAACCATTGCCATGCGAACTGCTGAAAGAAGATGTATAATGGAGAATGAGAAGCCAGTATGAACTGTAGGTGTTATCAAAGTAAAAGGCTTTTTTTGTGGTTTAGTTTCCTGCTCAACATCTGCTGCTCCTGCTTCTGTAACAGGTGGCTCAGAAGTTTCCAAATCTGTAGTAACAGCATCAGCCTCCAGTTTCCTTTTTCCCTTCTTCTTCAAGAAAACGGAATCATCAATTTGCTGCTGATCTCTTCCATCCACATCCATCACATCCCCTTTCGCTTTTCTCTTCTTCATCACCAAGTTGCATTCTACTAATGAAGCCTCAGATTTTTCCCTACCTTTCTTCCTCACTCTGCCCTGTTTAACACCGTTAACCAATAATCGTGTTGCAAGTGAATCATCATCCTCATCAACAATAAATTCATGGGCAAGTTCTGCTTTCTGCTTTCTCTCAGAAGGAAAGGCCTTCAGTGAGGACAGGTGCATCCTTTCTCCATGTTCCCCCCGTAATTGGCCATTCTTGCCAAATTTGTAGATAGGTTTCCTATCGTCATCATCTTTAAATTTGCCCAATCCTGACAGAGAGCTATCTTCCAAAACCCTGGCAGTAGAATTATGGAAGGGACTGTTATCACGCCTCTTACCCTTCTGTTTTGTTTTCAAAGAGTAGTTCTCTGTTCCTGGTATTCGTGCATGCTCACTAAAGCCACCCATCATCTTGGAGGATTTTGTGATTCCATCAAGTGCCCGTGTATTCTCTAGTTTATCTTTCTTTATAAATTTGGACTTCTTAGCATCCAGACCAGGTTTCAGTGAAGAAAATCGAGAACCTTCAGCAACAGCACTGGGGTAGGCTAACTTGCTCCTCATTAAAGGATTGCTGTCATCATCATCATCATCAAATTGTTCAGATGACTCTGATTCTGTTTCTTCATTTTTTACATGCTTTCTGTTACCTCTCAATGCTGCCATATCTAGCCCTCCATTCTGCACAAAATTCCCTCTTATCTTCTCCTGTGAAGGCTTCACTCTGAACTCAGAATGTAAGAATCTATCACTCATCTGTGGTGAGGAAGCTTTATATGATCTAAAATTGATATCAGGAGACTCTTTCCCCGTCTTCCATTTTTTGCTTCTACCATGCCGATCATCAGATTTAAAAGGCAAATCATTGGAAAATGCCTCTCCTTGAGTTCTGTTATACCATGGTTCTGCACGATCCAATATTTCAGCTCGACTTCCTTTCAGTGGTAGCTGTGGTCGGTGTTTCAGAGACTTCATATAGTCTCCAACTGTTTGCTGAGAATTTTCAGGATACTTAGCCTTCTTGGAAAACTCATAAGATGTTCTCATGGTAAAAGGCTTTGATGTATACACTTTTGCCTCTGACAACTGACTTACATTCTTGTTTTTACCATAGGCCTGTAAATCGTGCTTCGATGACATAGACAAACCCATGAAACCATCACTGCCTGATTCTTCACCTCTCAAAAAGTCAGGCTTCTTTCCCATTTTCCAAGCACCAGATTTTTCCATCATGCTACCCCGTGTAGCATTTCGATCTCTTTGACTACCCATTCCAAACAATGGATCTTCAACATCATCATCATCGTCAACACTGAACTGATCCCTTCTCCATAAAGAAACCCCTGACTCATACCCTGCTCCTTTACTCAGTCGAGGAGGAGCTACTCCTGAACCATATGGCCCAGAATTCATATCCACAAAGCGGCCCCCAGAATGCAATTTGGACCCAGCCATCTTCAAAGTACCTTTTGAATTCTGCTTCCCATATTTTACCGGTTCCATACTCATCGGCTGTCCTTGGGGAAAATCCAAAGTTGAACCCACCGCATATGGAGAATGATGCCGCATTTTCTGAACAGCTTTCCTATCCTTAAGCTTTTTGCTCCAGAACCCATCCCCTGATTCCTCTTGTCCTGATGAATCACTCTCCAAATCCTCCATCTTCTCATACATCAAGCTCTTTTGACTCTTCATAATATTCAAAACCCTAAGCTTCTCCTCAATACTATACCCCCTACAATTACTCCACGCATCCCTCATCTGACAAAGATTGCTAACCATAGTATTCTGATGCTTCCTCAAATGATGATAATGTTGCCGCTTCTGAAAGAAATTCAATCCCTCCCGATAAAGCGCCACTCTTGGCTCACACAAGCCCCCTTTCAACATATCAAACAGCTTCTTAATGGGACTCCCAAAGTGGAAATTCTCAGCCTCAAAAAGCGCCTTCAACGTCCTCATAAAAGTATCTTGATCCATATCAGGTAAATACTTGGCTAACCCAAACTTCTCCTCATCAGTTAACAATTCATTCCACACATCAACAGACAATATATCTTCTAAACCGGAAAGATCATACAATTCAAAAGGAACAGTACAAGTTAAGTTCCCAATTTGGCAGAACTCCGCCCCAGTTTCACCTAATTCAAGCAAGTCAAAGTCATCCGAACCAGCACCTGAATCAGCATCATCATATTCATCATCATCAGATGATTCATCAACGGCTGAGCTTCGTCTTTGAAGCTCATCCTCATCACTTGACATAGTCCCCCTACTATCCGGGGAAAACTCCGAATCAAAACGCGAAACCTTGAAATTATTCTTCTCTATCGCCATTAATCACAAATCCTAACTCAAAACTCCTTTAAATCACCAAATTTCAAAATTTTCACGGTAACTGAGTAAAACACAAAAAACAAAAACAAAACAAAAAATCTCAAAATTTCGAAATTGACAAAGCGAAAAAGAATAGCAGATTGAAAGCAAACAACAATTTCAGATATTGCCCAAAAAGTACCTCATTCGCGAGATATTGAGATTGAATTAGGAATTGAAGAGTTGAACACGAAATTCGAAACGTCATCTACGGTACAAGAAGTGGCGGATATTTTCGGAGACAGGTGTCATCATGATTTTGGATATATTTGTCAATGAGAGAAACCCTAAGAAAGAGGCGGTTTAATAATATAAGGAGATAGCGAGAAGAAAGAGTGAGAGGTGATGATGTTGTTGATGATGATGATGAAGAAGACGATGGTGACGTGGAGAGGTGTGGGCCGTCTGATTATGAGAGAAGGGGATCGTGGTAAAAAGACCGAAAAGGGCTCAGCGAGAAGGCGTGAGTGCAGAGGTAGAGAAAGAGAGTGGAAAAGAAGGGTTTGGTGTTTGAGAAAGAAGGTGAGTGACTCAGTGAGTTAGTCACCGAGTTTGGGAAGTGACCGTTGTTGAGTCAATCTTGTCTGGGTTTTGTGATTTAGAAAGTTTCCGGCCGTTGGATCTGAACCCTCTTTACACCGATTGGGCTCTTTCAGACTACGAATGAGGCTTACGACGTCGTTTCATATGTGAAGGGAAAGGGATGACTAAGTTATAACATTAACATAACATCCTCTGTTAGTTTGTCCAAACATTTTGAAAATTGGTTTTTGTTAGTTATAAAGTTCTATTTGTAAAATACATAGAATAAGATCAGATTTAATATTCATTAATATATAATAATCAAATATAAAATTAAATAAAAGTTCGTTAATTAATATAAGATTGACGTGATAGTTATATTCATCAAAGTCACTTCAAATTTAATTGATATGAATTTAGATACAATTAACTGTTATTTTTCTTTAATAGAAACGTTTATGGAAAAAAAAAAAACCGAAATTCAAATTAAATCCGAAAAATTATATTTAATATTGCCAGAAGCAATTCTATCATATTTATTATTATATATTATTGTTTTTCATAATAATAATAATTTATAGCATTAAGTAGTTTAAATAACTTTCTTAAAATGTTATCCTATTAAAACGTTTGCTTCGAATTTAAACGATCATTATAATTATTTACCATTGTTGTCAAGGTTTATTTGATTGGATTTTTTTTTTTTGGGTACAACAAAAATACTCTTAAATAATTAAAGAGTAAACCATTTTTTCCCACTCAAATAATGACTTAATAACACTTTTTCACACAAAAACTTTTAAAATATCATTTTATTACCCAAATTTATATTATATTTCCAATTCTATCATCGTTGTAACCTTACACCATCATCATTTTCTCCCCTAATCATTACTCACTAAAACCCTTTAAACTCTATTTTTTTTTTTTCTCGCCAATCGTTGACAATCGAACAATTATGATTTGTGCAGCTGCCCCTCCTAAGTTAAATTCTGATTAATTTCAACCATCAAAATCCAATCTTCCACCACCAAAAGACTTATCGGTCTCCCCTCTTCAAAAACCTCAAAAACCTGGACCGAGTTTGCTCTCTGTTCGCTGCCAAAATATAAATTTGGATAGTAAAATGATATTTTAAAACTATATATATGAGAAAGTGTCATTAAGCCATTATTTGAGTGGAAAAAAGTCTTTAACTCATAATTAAATAACATAATTTCTATATTATTATTATCTAAAGGGGCTGTTTGGATGTGGTTAATATTAGATAACTGACGTAATATTTTTTAAATTGAGCAAATGACGATGTTTGGTTGGTTTGTAAAAAATTATTTTCGGAATATTTTATGGCAAACAGTAGCATTTGGGGGGTATATTCCCGAGAATCTTAATACCTGTGGGTGGGTTGGGGGGACATTTTTGGAACCAAATATATTATTCACCAATTTATTCGAACAAACAAAACATATTTTTTAAACATTCTCAGTAATCTTTAAGGTGATCTTTTATTTCGTTAATATAATATCTCCTACAATAAAATATTATATGATCCAAACGATCTCAAAATTTTAAAACTTTTCTTGATATATTAAAAAAAAACACATCATATGCATATTTGGAAAGTATATAGTAAAAAAAAAAAAAAAAAAAAAAGGTATTAAAGTGATTTTTTTAAATAATTTATATATAAAAAAAAAATCTATTTATAGCATAAAAACTGTACCAAACATTTGGTTACACAAAAGGTAGTAGTAACTCTAGGATGCTGACTTGGCAGTCAATTAGTGGCTGTGGGAGCATATTATCCGAACAGTTTTTGACGGTTGACGTTTGGTCGCCCGTACAAATTTGTGTCAATCAATCACTCATACACCAATTTCAGTTATTACGTAAACCGAAAATATCCTTTCTTGTTTTACGTGTAAACTATTTTGGGAGATATACTACACAAAACACTAGTACACTACCGTTATTCCTAGGAAACTCTAGTAACAGTAATATATTTTTAATTAATGATATTAAATATGTTTATTATAAAGAGAAGAAGCTAATTAAAGAATGTAACATATTTTTAGTTTAATTAAAGAAAGAAATTATGAATTAATTCGTTATTATTTTTTCTATATTTAACCAAGCTCAGCAATCTATACGTTCAACATTTCTTCTCCCTCCTAAATCTTTCAATTGACCATTTCTGTTTCCCCCTTTTAATTCTCTCCTCCTTTCCCATCAGAAAATACTACCGATTTTTATTTTTCTTGATCGTCAAATTTTTTGTACCGTCTTTGTTTCCTGAGAAGAAGCAAAGATTAAGAGAAAGAGAAGCTTACTATCATGGTGTCTGGGTTGAGAACCGCCAGTATCAGAAAAGAGTCACCAAACTGGATGCTGGAGAGCGTGGAGGTTGATCGCATGGTTGATGTGCCGATCCAGGATGACTCAGGTCCAGGTCCGGGTCCAGGTCCTGGTTCAGGTCCGACTATAGTCATGTCTTCAAGAGCGAAACCTCCCACTGCGCCATCCATTAAGAGGAATACAAGCGCTGCTGTCAGGAAGAGTGGGTTGCTTTCTGGTGGTGGTAATAATTGTCCTGGTAAGATTGACAGGACGGCCTCCACCGCCGCTAGAGGCCTTCAGAGTTTACGTTTCCTTGATAGAACTATTACAGGCAAGGAAAATGATGCCTGGAGATCCATTGAAAGGCGTTTTAATCAATTTGCAGTTAATGGGAGGATTTCTAAAGAAAAATTTGGCATATGTGTTGGTAATATTTTATATATATAACGCTTTCTTTTTTTATTTTTTAGTTGCCTCTCGTTTTGAGATTGATCAAACACGAATGTTTAACAGGAATGGGAGAATCAAAGGAATTTACTTTTGAACTATTTGATGCGTTAGCACGGCGTAGGCAAGTTGATACTGAGAATGGAATAACCAAGGAACAAGTGAGAATATTTTGGGAAGACATGACCAAGAAAGATCTTGATCTTCGACTTCAAATATTCTTTGATATGTAAACAACTTCTCCGGATCAAATTTTGTTTTTATTTTAAGATTTTTACAAGGGAATGAATTTCGTGGTAACTAATTTTTCAGGTGTGATAAGAACGGCGACGGGTTGCTATCAGAGGAGGAGGTACAAGAGGTGAGGGCACATTATATATGCGTAACCCATGAATTGTTCTTAATTTATTTCTTCAATTATTCGATGTTATTACAAATTAAAATTTCTCATAATTTTTATGGATGAAGGTCATAGTCTTGAGTGCCTCTGCAAATAAGCTCTCAAATCTTAAAGATAATGCTGCAACCTACGCAGCTTTAATTATGGAAAAGCTAGATCCTGACCTTAAAGGATATATAGAGGTTGGCATTTTGAAATCAATATGTTCGCAACTATTATATACATATATATATATATATGTACGTACATATTGTTTTCTAACTTATTTTATTTTCACAATTTTTTTTACTTTTAATTGAACAGATGTGGCAACTAGAAATTCTACTAAGAGGAATGGTCTCGGATGATGGCAACAAGGAGCTCGATAGTAACCTTACAAAAGCCATGATTCCCCAACACTATAGAACTACTCATGGCAGAATCCTTTACAATGCCACTGAATTTTTCTTTGACAATTTTAAAAGAATATGGATCATCTTTTTATTCATAACTGCAAATATAGCACTCTTCATGTGGAAATTCGTCGAAACTCAGTCGACACCCACATTCCAAATTACAGGTTATTGCGTCTGTTTTGCGAAGGGTTGTGGGGAGACTATCAAATTTAATATGGCTCTAGTTCTTTTTACAGTTTGTAGAAGAACCCTCACCACGCTTAGATCAACATTTCTTCATAAATTAATCCCTTTTGACGACAATTTAAACTTTCACAAGATGATTGCAGTGGGAATAGCAATTGGAAGTGCTGTACATACATTATTTCATCTCCTTTGTAATTATCCGAGAATTAGTTCTTTTCCAAGAGAACAATTCATGGCTATTGCTGGTCCTGCATTAAATTTCCAGCAACCAAGTTATCTAGATTTGTTGTTGACTACTGTAGGCCTGACAGGCATATTCACCGTGCTTATTATGACCTTCTCATTCACGCTTGCAACAAGCTATTTCCGAAAGAATGTCGTCAAATTACCCTGGATTTTTCACAACTTAGCAGGATTCAATTCCTTCTGGTATGCACATCATTTGTTGGCTTTGGCCTACGTGCTCGTATTCATGCACGGATGGTTCCTCATTTTTGACAAGCCATGGTACCAGAAAACGGTACATGCAGTTTTCAATTTACAAATCAAGCTCTCTAATTATAACTAATTGCTGGCTTAAGTTATTTCTTTTTCTTTGTAGACATGGATGTATCTTATTATACCAGTCATATTTTATTCTAGAGAAAGAATCCTTTCTTCGTATTCAGATAACAGTCATCGGGTGGACATCATTAAGGTTAATTTGCTTCTTTCAAATTAATCTTTCCCTTCAATCTCCAAGTACTGGTGAATAATGAATGAGATTCTATGATATTCTATTGCAGGCAGTGATATATACAGGAAATGTTCTAGCCTTGTACATGACTAAACCTTCAGCCTTCAAGTACAAAAGTGGAATGTACCTTTTTGTCAAGTGTCCTGATATATCACCTTTTGAATGGTAAATATATCTCTTAGATGAATACTCTGATAATTAATGATTATATTTTAATACTCAAATGAAACTGCCAGCTGTTTTTTTATGCAGGCATCCCTTTTCCATCACTTCTGCCCCAGGAGATTACTACTTGAGTGTCCACATAAGAACCTTGGGAGACTGGACTACTGAACTTAAAGAGAGATTTGAACAGGTCATCATCTTACTTGCCTGGTTTCATCCGTGGGAAAATGATATTTTTTGTTTTTTCTATTTTTTATTTTTGACTTACAAAATTAAAGCAAACCCTATTCCACTAAGATTTGAGAAATTTGTGCCATAATTCCCGTTACCCGACATTTTTGCTGCTTTTCCGTTGCGCAAACTTGAAAGGATATACATATTTTTATGTATATATGCAGGTCTGCGAGCCTCCGAAAGCGAAACCAAACAGCAAGGGCCTAATGAGAATGGAAACTAGAACGGCGGCAACTTCAAATGATTCAGAATCCGATATTTTAAATTTTGAACAGATACAAGCCAGGCGAGAAAAAACTAAACCAGTTAATCCTAATATTATTTGCTTTACAGCTTTTAATTACTACATTATTAATTGCTAATTATATTGTCTTTGTCCCATGCATCCTGACAGGTTTCCGAGAATCCGTATCAAGGGACCATTTGGAGCCCCAGCTCAGGATTACAAGAAATATGACATCCTCTTACTTATTGGGTTGGGAATTGGAGCAACTCCATTTATCAGTATTATAAAGGATCTCCTCAACCACATCAAGTCAAATGACGACCCTGTTAGTCAAATTTTAAACAACATCTCACAACTTTAATGGATTCTTGATCATATTATTTGAACATAATATCAGATTAAACGATTTCAATAATATTATATAACCAAGAATTTGACTGATTATACAGGTCTTCACAGAGAATGGTTTTAAGAAGGGTCCTGAAAGAGCCTACTTCTATTGGGTGACAAGAGAACAAGGGTCCTTTGAATGGTTTAAAGGAGTCATGGATGATATTGCAGATCATGATGTTAATGTAAGTTTTCAATATCACAAAGCTTATATTAATGTTATTTTTAATTTGTTTTCCATACATAAGATCAATCACTTATTTGTCTTCATTGAATAATGATGCAGAATATAATAGAAATGCACAATTACTTGACGAGTGTGTATGAAGAAGGAGATGCAAGGTCTGCGCTTATTGGCATGGTTCAGAAACTGCAACATGCTAAGAATGGAGTTGATATTGTTTCCCAAAGCCGGGTATTAATTCACTCACTAACCACGAATCAATGCATATTTTTTTGAATTTTTTCTAACATTGATTAATAAATGACAGATAAAAACGCATTTCTCAAGACCTAATTGGAGAAAGGTGTTCACACAATTGGCAAATGACCATGACTCTTCTCGAATAGGTAACACTAATTTTGAATTGATTTGGTTTTCGCTATTTGAAACAGGAATTGAGTTTGATATAAAACCATTAATCATTGGTTGTTGCAGGCGTGTTCTATTGCGGAAGTGCTACACTTACAAAAACCCTGAAGGAGCTTTGCGCTGAATTTACTCTAGAGACACCAACCCGATTTGAATTTCATAAGGAGAATTTCTAAATCATCTGTGAAATTGCAGCATTGCAAATAAACAATTTCTGTAGATAGATACATTTTTGTACCCAAAAGTACAGCAATTCTGTATATGTTTTCATCATGCATGTACCACATGGAGACCTCAAATTCTCATTGTTTATATTTTATCTACATAATATTCATTCTTTTACATACACTGCGCTTGAATTTTTTTATTTGTTTTTCTTTTTAATCTAACTACCAATAGAATAGTAATTAAAGTATATATTGTTTACCTTAACATCCAAAGTATGAAGATGAATATCAAGATTATTAACAAGTTTTATTTTATTTCTTCGTTTTATTAAATGGTTAGCTAAATATTACTTTCAGAACATAAAAATAATGAAAAGGAATTTACTTTGTTTCCCTGCGTGGTGGAAGTACTTAACATTCCAAAACTTTGAATTGAATGTGTTTCTTGATTTCATCTTCAAATCGCAAACCAAAACACTTTTTGACAATAATTTCAACCGGTAAGATGGGTCCAACTTATATACATATATATATGATAACTACTGTAACAGACGTGCCCTTGGGGCACGATCTTGGATTATTAATGTTTAGTTAGTTACTGTAATTAGTTAAATAGTTGGTTAGTTATACTGTTAAGTTTACTTAATTGTAGTTGAATTAACTATGCTTACTGAAATTGTATATAACTGTAATAACTCTGATTGTACAGTGATTTTTTGAGCTCAATAGTAATAAAAGTCGACTTTACTCTTCAAGCTGAATTTGTACACACGACATGGCTTAAAAGTTAAAACTATGCAGCCACCATGTTCCTGCTTTGCCGAAGGAAGTGGCAGCTCTCAGCTGATGAATAAAGAAAGTAAAAATGAGTTTTAGTCCACAGAAACAGAAAAGAAAGAAAAACAGAGAGAGAAAGAAGAAAAATAAATGAAGACGGAGAAAAAAGAGAATCGTTGAACCATAAATAAAAAAATTAAAAAAAAATAAATTGGGAAAGAAAAAGAAACCGATCGAGAAGAGTAGAAAAAAAAGAAAAGAAGAGATGATAGAACATAATTTGATTCATTATTTCAGGTATTGTGGTATTATGATGATGAGAGATTAATAAATCAGAGATTAAATTTCCAGAGACTAAAACAACGTATATCTTATTATTATTTTTTTAAAAAAAAAAATTCAGTACTCAAATTTTAAATTAAATTTAATATAATCGTATCAAGAAGATAAACATGGTTATAAATTTTAAAATTTTAAACATAACAGAAAGGAATGATAACACAAGAGAAGAAGAGAATATAGAATAAAATATAATAAAAAATTATAAAATTATAAAACTAAAATAATCTCTATTAAATAATCTTAAATATAATTTAATAAATTACATATTAAATAATCTATTTTAGTTATTTTTTAAAATTAAATGTAAATTGAATTTTTCTATTTTCATAAAAGTTAAATTTTGTATTTTATTTTTCAGTTTTGCCACCCCTGTTTCCACCATAGTGACCTTGCTATTAAGTCTGAACAGTGTAAGTAGTTTATTTTTTTAATAAATAAAATTTATGTATTAATATATTTATATGTGACTCATTTTAGAATCAGTTTTAGATTTAGAAATGTGCATGTTAAAAATATGTATCCAAGCAGGAGGATAACAATATAGACCTCGGATTTTAAGCGAAGATAAGTTCAAATGTAATCATCATTAGATAATCTGATGGTAAAAAAATAAAAGGAGGTTCAATGAGCTCCTGAATTCGATTCTTCCCAGACACTAATAAGGATGATCATTGAAGTTTTTATCCGATCGATGATTCTAAGGCTTTAGAGGATTAGTTGAAGTGCGTCTAACTGACCTAGACATCGTCAATGATTAAAAAACAAAAAAAAGTTCAAATGTTAAACGGCAATATATGACTTATAAAATTTCTCAGACGTAGATTAAAAAATTACTTGCTTAGAATTATCTCAAATCAAAGAAAGGTGTACAAGGACAACTTGCATTAAAAATATTACATAACATAAATGTTATATGAAACCCAGTTAAATGTCATTCTCCTTCTTTCCTAAACTCAACGTAGGAAATAATTATTGAGTATAAAATATAAATCAGCCGATCCCGATCGATTCCAAATTGTAAAATGAAAAAAAAAATAATAATCATAAAAAGAATTACAGCCATTCGATTCGAAAAAAAAAAAAAAACTCATTGGGTGGATTTCTGGTAAGATCTGTGAATGAAGAAAGATAGCAATAATTTACGTCAACACTTAGGAAGATCGGCTGGTGGAGGAGGTAGCTTTTGATTAGGAAGCTTTCCATCTAAGACAATCCAGGCCATCTTCAAACCCCAGCTGGTGTGAACTTCCAAATGGCAATGCATAAACCACACCCCTGTTTATAAATGTTTGAGAATATATTATCTATAAATCGTCATTATCTACTTCACCCCTGTTTATAAATGCAAGAAATAAAATATGCATGGATAAATGACATCAATTTCAATTTCACTCACCGGGATTGTCTGCGAGGAACCGAATTGCCACCCACCCACCTGCAGGCACACCGACAGTGTTCCTTTCAATAGGGTCAACGAGATTGAAGTTTGCAGGGTCCTTATTCGGATCAAAGTTTCCAAAACCTTGACCAACCACGAAGAAATTGAAACCATGCAAGTGAAGAGGGTGGCTTTCAGCGCCAAGTATGCTTGTATCCTGCAAGATGAGCTCCACACTTGTGTTATAAGGAAGCACCACTAGCTTTGTCCCGTTGCTTACCATAGTATTATTTGGTGGGGTGCCGGTATAATTAAATTGAATTAGTGGATAGATAGGAAAATTGGGATTGTAAACACCATTTGATTGGCCGGAAAAGTGAGATTGGAGTAGGGCTTTGGTTGGCATTACGAACGATACGTTATTGATTGAAGCCTGAAACATCGTCCCATTAGGGCCTTGGCAGGTTTGGTTACTGTGGCAGGAACTTGTTCCTAGGCCTACTGTGAAAAAGAATCGCTTATCAATCTTTTGGGGCACATTGGCAGGGAATTGTGCACTCGCTAAACTACGAAGTTTTTGGGTAAAATTTGCTGCAAAGGAAGTGTCGTTGAGAGGAGGTAAAGTTGGTTTAAAGAGTGGAAGTTTTTTAATCGAGCCAACATTATTGGGAGGTTTTTCATACTCTAAAATGCCGGCAACAGTTGAATTGTCGAATGTGCCTTGACCAGTCACATAAGGTCTAGCAGTCATTAAAAATGTGGCACTTGGGTACTGGGATTTGGTTTTAAGAAGCACATTTGTGGTTTGGCCTGGGGTAATGAGTAATGTTTCAGTCTCAAAAGGTTTAACATAAATAGCATCCACATCCACAATTTGAAGAGTATGGTTTGCTATGCTGAAGAAAAGCTCATCGTTGAGTGCAGCATTGATCAAACGTAAAAGGTAAGTTTTCCCAGGCTTCACCTTCAGTTTGAAAGTATCTGTCAATACATATTTAATCAAAGTCAAATCAAAAGAACTTTTTAATAATACTATTATTGGGAAAGTTAATAGCAAACAATGCTACGTCGTACAAGAATTGATACCTTCGGCTGAACAGTTATACAAAGGCCCTGGAAGTCCATTGATGGTATATGCATCAGACACATTTGGGCCTCCACCTGTTTGAAGGGCCTGGGTGATCACTGCCTCAGGATCTGCATTGAACCACTCACCTGCAATTTAAACATTATTGTTTATGTAAGCAAATTCTGATTAGCCAAGAGGCAAAGTATAGGCAAATTCCTCTATATTTTATGTCATATTATAATTACCAAAGATGACGGGAACTTCCTTGTAAGGTTTGGCAAAGGGGTAAGGAACGCCACGCTTGGGAAGAATGATGATGGGACCATAAAGAGTTGATCTTAGCCATGATATATGGGCATGCCACCATAGTGTACCTCTTTGCCCAACAATGGTAAAGTTATACACATAACTCTGCCCTGTTTGAATGGGGCATTGTGTTATATATGCTGGTCCATCAGCCCACCCACTTCGAAGCTGCCGAATGCCATGCCTGTTTCAAACAAACTATATAACTTGCAATGCCTATAAGAGCTAAAATGATTTTTCTTCTTAAATGTGTATTATATCATTTTGCAACAGATAGCTAAAAATAATAATAATCTCATCAGTGTGCAGCTATTTATACCAATGGATGGAGATATTGTTCTGGACATGGTTAACCACTTTGATAAGAAGCTGGTCGCCCTCCCTTGCAACAATGCGAGGCCCTGGAAACTGCCCATTTACTGATACAATGCTCTTGGTATGGCACAGACGCGTCACATTTTGCAATTTGATCTACAAAATATTTTGATAGTATGTTAAAAGTTATGAACAATACTGACTCAAAAATATTATTTGCGAGGGACATTAATATTACACATACATCAAACTTGTAGTGCCTGGTGATGCCAAGTACTGGCTGAGGAAGGATACTCAATGTGATAAATGCTGTTAAAACAACTACTAGAAATGCTGGCGATTGAAGAACAGAAGCACCCATTTTTGGTTTTTCTCTCAGGAAACTGCAACTACTCCTTGAGTGTGTATTCATTGAAGCTTGTAATGGTAATTCATATATAGAGACGATAGATGTGAGTTTGGTTGATTAGGTGATAGAAATTGTGTTTAAAGCCGGAACCCGCGATATTGATAGCTATTGGAATGTCCAGTAGTTAGAACCACTGTAGAGTGCTGTGAAAGTTAATCAACTCTAATTACTTTGACCTCCTTCATTTTCTTTGGTCAAACCTTAGCGCTGTGCAAAATTAAATTTAAATTTAATCACTTTTCATTATCATCATTCTCATAATCTGATTTCAACCTACTACTATATATCTCTAATTTGTCTAAATATTCTGAAGGAAAAGCAGATGTGAGATTTAATTTGTGAACTAATTTCTTGGTAAAGACACTAGAAAAGAAGCTCTAATTTCTAAAATTCAACCATCAAAACTCACTTTTTACCATGATATATGTCACTTTTCAATAAAAAATTCAAATTTCAAAGTCTTTATCCTACAGATTAATTTGTTTTTTTGGTAAAACTTCTTCTGATTAATACTTTCTTAGCTAGCTAGGAAATTAATGAGATGATATCTCCCATTGTGGTAGATGGTAAGCCTTTTAGCCATTGGGATTAACTATATTCAAAGAGTCTTGTTTTCGAATCGTGGGAGAGGTAATTATTGGGTTTACCAAAAGGATAAAGATTGGTTTACAACCCAATCATATAAATTTTTTCTCACAACTCTGATATGACAATTTGTAAATGGACAGACGGAACCTATGCTAACAAGAAGAATCCATCTGTGAATTGACCAATTGCGAGCTACCATGTAGAGATTGTGAGAGAAAATTTGTACCTTTATAACAAAAATTAAAAATAATGAGATGTTTTTTTCATTTGTTCTTCTAGTTTGTGATGTACTGATGGTTTCAAGTTTGTTTAAACTCAAGTCCTTTCTGGATAACTAAATTCTAAGTTTCATGGGGATTATGTAATCGCAAAAAATATACATAATGGAGGAGAGGAGACACGTGCAATTTCCTTCTAGAAAAAAGTTCTATTTAATTTTGTTATTTGCTTCGATTCCATCATCAACTACATGCATGTAATTATAATAAGCATGTAACATTTCAACCATTAATGCTTGGTGATAAAGCAAAACTAAAGCCGACAAAGCTAGGGTTTCTATCAAACAGTCATTTTAGAGTCAGAAGTGTATAATTGTATTGTTTCAACTTTCAATATCAAGAAGATGATCAGATTGTGAATGAACAGTAAAGCAAAAAATTTGTTCTCAAGCAAGCCGCCATAGAAGCTTATGTATAAATAAAGGGATATACGAACGAAAGTGCAAGTCGGAGATATATAGTTGGAGGAAAGGAGATGTCATCTTGAAAACTATTAATCAACCGTAACCTTTATTATATTTATATTGTATTTGTAGTTTTACCAACTCCTCTATCTTTTCATCATATTTATAAAAAAGAGTAAATCCAATGTAAGAGTAGGTAGTTCCAAATTTTTTTAATTATATTTGAGAAGTATTCTTTAAAGCTTGTCTTTGAATACAATACCAACCATATATATCTTCTGTTTAACTTTAACATAATAAAGACTCATTAATATACAAAGACTATAATAACTTTGTAACATCATAACGCCACATGAAAAGACCAGATATAAAATAAAATAAACCCGGTCCTTGTATCTTCTTCGCTTCATATTCTTAACTAATAAGCAAACTCCATTGAAGTAGCAACTCACCAAAATTTCGGAATTCAATCTCCAGCAAATAAAAATCCATTTAATTTTGTGGTTCATCCTTCATATTTTACCCTGAGTCTAAATCTAAAACGTCATTTTTTTTTTTTTAAATACAACAATATTAAATGAAAAAAAAAAATATTAAGAAGATTAAAGAGTTACTTTGAGTTGTTAAGTTGATGAATTCATAGTTATTCTAACATGTAGAAGGTTATTTGGATTTCTTTTTTGCTTTCCCTCTCCAAAAATTCTACACAAATGCATAAATAATTCACGTACTAAATGTAAAATGCGGTAAAACTTCTCTATAGTTGTTGATGCGTGATTTTGACACCAATGAAACGCACGTGTGAAATGTTGAGTTGGCCCAAAAGACATACGTGAATGGAAAGGAAGACGATACTAAATGCAGTGAGAGAGGAGTTTTAAAGTGGTTCGGATGCTAAGGAAGCAAATCCTACGTCCACTGATGTTTTTATTAATGATAAGGGTCAGGTCGCTTTAGACGACTGACTTTACACTGATGATACAAGATATCAAAGACTATCTTTTCTAGAAAGAGAGAGTTTTGTCAAGAGTAAAATGTGCAAATCCCCTTAATGAGAGAGGAGCTCTCATTTTATAGTGGGATGTCTTGAGGTAATGATCACTGAATCTATAAGTTGGTGGGATGATCCGTGCAAATCCTTCTTTTAGAGTAATTCACGTGATTTGCTGCAAGGGTTGGACACGCGAGATCATCACAACTCCTTGCTGGCCTGACGTGCACCCATTATTTTGACGGAAGCAAGCTGTGGGGTGCAACCATGATCACACGATGCAGCTGCGCCAGAATGGCAGTAGAATCTTCCCGAGGTCTGACCTTTCGCACTTAACTGGGCGCCACGTTAGCCCTATGTTCCCAGGCATAACATAAGTCCCCTAGTTTTTAAGGTTTGAGAATCGAACCTTGAAAACTACAAGTCATGCTGCAATTGGATGATTCTTGGAGATTCTGAAAATTTCGAAAATTCTAGAAATTCCGACCTGTTTGAAAGTAGGTCGGGACGACACTTTTTCGAGAACGACCTCGCATGTTCATTGTTTGCAGGGGACGAGCGACCTGATTTCTTCAGACGTCACCTGTTGTCCTTTTGATATGGGTGCATTTAATGAAATAGTCCCTACACTGACATATGTGTCCTGTGCGTGATAAGTGCCAGCCAGATGCATTAAATGCGTTGTGCGCTGACACGGTATGCCTTATCAGGACATTAAATGCGTTGTACGTTGGAACGACGCCTCTTATCAGAGCATTAAATGTAGATTTGAGATGTAATTAATGCTCTGAGGAAGAGAGATGGTGGTCGTTTGAGCTTTTCAACGGAAGAGATGAAGGTTTGACTTTATCCAGTCGTGACGCTCACTCTTCCCTGCTAATGCGCGACATGTGGCCGTGATCAATGGTGAGAAACCTTTGCTGTTCAAACGCCGTTTCGATTCCAAGAAATCGAAACACCAATTCATAAGCTATAAAAACCTCGAGTCGTTCTCAAGAATGTCACCAGAGCCTTTTTCTTAGAGAGTAAAAGATTTTTGCAAACTTGGAATCTCTGCCTTTCAAACCAGCATTTTTCCAGTATTAGAAGAGGAAGCTATTTTCATACTCCGAGAGGTAAGAGCTTCTCCCTGTGTTTGTTTCATTATTTTCCATGGTTGAATGGCGTCTGTCTTTCGGTAGCCTAACAGAGACGAGATGCTTAGGTTGGGTTCGAGCCATGAATGGTGGCTCGAATCATGCCATCAGGGTTTCCTTTGGAATTTAAAGAGTTCGTTTCCTCCCACATCATCGTACGAAATAGCGTACGGCGGCTAAATGACCTTTCTGCTTGTCACTTTTACAGACTAGCAAAATAGACCCCTCAGCAACCAGATCCGAACAGGGAACCAGTTCGTCCCCACAGGGTGCTCCAAGCATCCTTATCGAGGTCTTCTCGGTTCTTACCAGGGATGAGCTTGAGAGGGTAATAAAATAGTACGACATCGAGGTGGATGCTTTCCTCAACGTGGCACATTCATCGCGGTACCCGCTAAGTGGTCTGGCCACAGTCTCCGAGGAGATCATCAAGGGTGGGGGACTAATCCCCTTCCACCCTTTCATCAGGTCGCTTTTGGACCACTTCGGGGTTGCGTCGATGCAGCTGACTCTGAACGCGTACGTCATTGCCGTTGCAATGTACATCACGTGCCAAGAGAACAGGCTGGGCGAGCTGACCGCGATATTATTTGAAAAAGAGCAAGGACAAGGACTCTTACTACTTGTCCAGGCGACCTACTATTGCCGATGGGATACATAGTTATCCAAGCAATGCGGGGGCCTATGAAACGAAGTTTTTCTTTTTTCATTATGACAACCATTGCCGCTTCCAGGATCCGAGTAGGCTTTTTTTTTTTTTTTTTGACAAATTCATTACACTCGAAATATGCTTTTCTAACGACCTGATTCCTTTCTGACAGTTAACAAGACGATCGACCTAGGGCTACTCTTCAATAGAAGTAGGATCGTGCATTTCGGCTCCCTACCCGAGGACAAGTGCGACGTGAAGAAGCTCGTGACGACCGCGAGTTTGCGAAAATACGGTTTCTTCAACGCAAACGCGTCGTTAGAGCCCTCATTGAGTAAGTCCTACTAACTGATCCCTTTCTACTCGTGAAATGAGATATCTTTGCTAATGATGCTTCGCATGCAGCGACCATGCCTCCGAAAGAGTCAGAGCAGCCGCGACGAAGGCTGATCACTTTCCCTCGGACAAGAAAAGCCAAAGCGGTCGAAGCTGCTTCGACTATTCCACCGGCTGAAGGCGCAACATCGGGCCCACCGACGCGACCTTCCAAAACTTCTCAGGCACAACCTTTAGAGGACGTGCCAATGCGAACCACGAAGGTCTCCCAGCCGTCGCCTGCTCGCCTGAGGCTGAAGACAACGGCCCAGCGAAAGAAGAGGAAACAGATTCAAGTCGAAGAGTCAGAGACCGAATCTGAGGGCGATCAATCAAAGAGGTCACAGCTGGACGTGGGTAGGTCGGGTAAGGAACCTATGGACGACACGACCGCTGTTGAGGCCGCGAAGAAGGATACTCTAGTGTTGGACTCGCTGGGGAACCTGCTGGAGTACTTGCAGCCGGTGGTCTATGCCTTATTGGAATGCGGACTCTCGGAATCGTTCGAGCAGTTCACAAGTTCCAGCGACGTGGACCTAATGTCCACATCGGTCCAACACTT